AAGATTGAAAGTTGAATACTAAAGGCTTTTGAGCGTATTGCTTTGGGGGAAAGGCAAGTTAAGGCAAGTATAATATGAGGCTCCTTGTTACCTATTCACTTTAATGCAATCTCAATTCATATGCATATGTTAATGAACCGCCTGGAGTCTATTTACCTTGATATTGATTATCCTGTCCTTGATTTACCTATGGGTTTTGCATGTGGGTAGTATCCTCAGTTTGCTCCAACTAATATTGACTAAAGAATACAATTAAAGATATATGCAACATGATATTAAAAGATGCTTTTTAGCAACATGGACAGAAGGGGGCTAGAGCATTGGGCCTTTTTGGGTACTATAGTCTGCCCTCCGTAAGGACTGAATCTTAAAGTGGCAAACCAGGACTTACCGTACAGCCACGAGAACTACATGGCTCTGGTCTTAGCCTAGTATCTTGATATGTTCTAGTTCATCAGCAGCTTATCGAAAGGGCAAGACGGGGGCACTAGTTGGTATGTTTCTTTTCCTGCCAGGGTGTGTACTATGCCACGACCATGAGTGTCACTCCTGGAGGAGGGCTACATACAGCTAGACGGCTGAAACCTTAGCGGCTGCTACTTATTAGAACAACTAGTGAAAAGCTTCGTAGTGATCCCTACCGACTTATCTTAGAAGTGAGTCAAGAGGTTGATCACCTCGGGCAAAAGGGCAATCACGGCTCGTGGTGAAAGTGTACAAACTCTATAGAGTATAAAACTGATATATCAGCCGTGCTCATGGACATGTGCGGCCTGGATCCTTTTCGAGATAGATGGTTCTATGGATGGTTTGGGATATGATCAACCTTGATGTTAAATATACTTTCACTTTGGGAGCTTAAGCATAACCTAGCAACACAGGTTTAACAAATAAAATATGACCAACTAAAAGTACTTACCGTAGTTCAGCCGTTTTTAGCCTTTTGAGGTTTGCATCCCCTCATGTTATACTTGTTGAGTATGGTGCGCTCACACTTGCTTTATAATCAACAAAAAATCCTAGATGGGTACCAGATGGTGGATCAAGTGAAGAGTTTCTTGTGGAGTCCATGAGTACCAGGCGAGTGTTTCCCCCAGTCAACCGTCCCTATGGAGTATGGAGTCCCAAAGAGAAGATTAAGAATAGTTTTCGCTATGCTTCTGTAATAGTTGTAAATCCTATTGTAATTATGTTCGATATATAATAAAGCATTGTTCTTGATATTCTCCATATTTGTCGCTATATGTGTCGTGTGGACATCCTGGGCACACATATAGTTAGCGCTTGGTATTCTTCGAAAAACTGGGTGCGACAGAGCCCTTGGGACCGGCTGAACGGACCCAAGAACTATATGGATTGGCCGCCAACAGACTAGAGTCGGTCACTAGCTAACCCATGCTGGACCCCCGCAAATGGGAAGCTGGGGCCCCACTCGGACTAGCCCATTAACAGCTCACCGAGCACCATGTTTCGTCCATCGAGGAAAAACGTGGCACGGCTCAGCCCCTCTGTTTTAACGAAAAAAATGCTTGAGGGATGAGGATCACAAAGATGAGCCGACCCTCAACCAGACCCCCACTACGTGCAGGGGCTCGAGAGAAGTTGGACTCATAAGGAGACCGAATGCGCGGTCGCAGTATGACGGCGGACCGATCGGATCCTAGGGGGCTGGAATCAAGAACAATCTTTCCGACCTCCCGAATCCTACGGTTACATGCCCCTAGAAGACCGATCGCGACAAAAGGGAATCGCCGTCCTACTAGGACACGCCACGAGCTACAAAAAGAAGGCCAAGGCCCTCAGAGTCCTCCCATCCGGAAAAGCCTCGAAAGGAGTTTTCTACTCCTCCACAGGCTTGGGGGCTACTGTCGGGTATCGATATTAGGGATACCCAAAGCAAGAAAGTTAGCGCCCACGCTGACTTCATCGGATGACTTGAGACATATTAAAAGGTCTCGCCTGACCCCAAGGCCTCGGGCTCTGTCCTGCCCCTTGGGTGCGGGCTCCGTCTCGCCCGACCCCAACGACGCGGGTTGCATCTCGCCCAACCCCTTGGGTGCGGGCTCCATCTCGCTCGACCCCTTGGGTGTGGGCTCCTTGTCGCCCGACCCCAACAACACAGTTTCCATCTCGCTCGACCCTAAGGACACGGGTTCTGTCTTGCCCGACCCCTTGGGTGCGGGCTCCGTCTCGCCCGACCCCAAGGACGCGGTTTTGTCTCGCCCGACCTCGAGGACGCAGGCTCCGTCTCGCCCAAGGTCGCGGGCTCCATCTCGCCCGACCTCGAGGACATGGTTTTCATCTCATCTGACGGGGACCCATACTGTCGGGGACCTAATACTGGGGTACCCAATGAGGTGGAGCTAATAACCATCAAACAATGATGCTTTCAAGCGGACAAGAACGTAACTGCACTTCTTGTCCATACGAAGGGAGGCTGGCCACGCCTCGCCCGGCCCCTAAGGGTTGGCTCCGCCTCACCTGACCCCTGAGGGTTGGACTCCACCTCGCCCGACGTCTGGGGGCAGACTCCGCCTCGCTCAACGACTGGTGGCTGGCTCCGCCTCGCATAATGGCTAAGGGTTGGCTCTGCCTCGCTCGACAATCGGGGATGGGTCTCGACTCGCCCGACCCCCGAGGGCTGGCTCCACCTCACCCGACGGCTAAGGGCTGGCTCCGCCTTGCCCGACGTCGGAGGGCTGGCTCCGCCTCGCCCGATGTCGAAGGGCTGGCTCTGCCTCGCTTGACGGCTAAGGGCTGGCTCCGCCTCGCCCGATGACCGGGGACGACCTCGCCTCGCTCAAACCCTGAGGGCTGGCTCTGCATCGCCCGATGGCTAAGGGTTGGCTCCGCCTCGCCCGATGACTGAGGGCTAGCTCCGCCTCGCCCGACGGCTGAGGGCTGGCTCCGCCCCGCCTGACGTCCCGGGACAGGCTCCGTCTCGCCCGACAACTGCACCCTGCTCCTTCATAATGATGGGGCATAGGGTAAGATAGGACATTCGAGTCAACCATAGTACCGAGGACCATGCCCTGCACGCCTGTAGGAAAGTACCATCAGGATACGACGGGACGGGCGCTTTAAGCCCTTCCAGGCATGGCAGAGCCCGAATAGTATTGTAGGCACCGACTTTTCTCTTACAGTATTGTGGGCGTTGCCATCAGCCCTCGGATGTGGATCCTGACATAAGCATACGACAACCACTACAATCCAAGAGAGAACTCGCATCATCTACAGTTATAGACGTATAGTCACTTCCCCGTCTGCTCTCCGTAGGACCACGACTCAGCACCCCTGCTCCCCCTTGGTCTATAAAAGGGAGGGTAGGACACCCCACTAAGGGGACGGATCGATTTCATACACAACACATCACACAACACACGACCAAGCAGCAGCCGAGCTCTTGGCATCCTTTCGACCCTTCCCTCAGAGACTTGGGACCTGTCCCTCTCTCGACCGTTTGTACCTCCTACTACGAACCTTTTTTCGGTGCTAATAACACGAGCAGCAGCAGACTAGACGTAGGGACATTCTACCCAAACCAGTATAAACCTTGTTTACTTTAGCACACCATCTAGGCCTAATGCGCAACAAATATAAATTTACTAGTTGGTGTTTATTCGAAACACCGACAGTTGGCGCGCCAGATAGGGGACCTTTGCGCGTTCCACATCAGGCCACGAATGACTAACCACGGCATCAGTTGGGTCTCAGGCGCACGCGTGCGCTTCGGGAGCCTAGACTTCATCATCACGGTGGGAGGAGAGTTGGCATTGGCTCACGTCGCCATCCAATCTCTCCCCTCCATTGGCCTCAACCACGAGAGGCTTGGGCGCAATATTTGGATTAGCAATTTCATGAATTGAATATTTGGATTATTAGAACTTTGATAAATTGAATTTTGGATTACTTTGCACTTCTGCTTTTGTTTGGTAAAATGGTCCATATTAACTAAGATATATAGAGGTATCCTAAGTCTTGGGGTGCCATGTATACAACTTAACTATGCATTTTATTCCTAATTATATCTGCAGAAGTCGTATGCTCCATTTTTCACCATGAATAGATCTTGGTTTACTCTCCATGGAAACAACTCTTCTTCTCTATAAATAGTTGGAGACTACGGGTCTGCTTGGATCCATCACTTGTTACTGTGTAACCTTGTTAAGCGAGGATACATAGTGAAACTGCTTTTTTGGATTCCTTGCTGGGATGTCTCCGGGCCTCTGCGGGCAAGGATTTCCTTCCCAGCAAGGGAGAGTCAAAATGTCTCTCTTGGCTGGGCAAGGCTGGGCGAGGCAAGGCTAGCGAGGCTGAGGCAAGTCTAGAAAAGAAACCAAGCATGCCCAATGCTTTGAATTTGAACTTTGATGAACTAAACTTGGGATTATTACTTTTTATACTAGTGCATAAAAAATAGAGTAAAATGCACCATAGGTACTCAAACTATTGTGTGGTTCCCAAATAGGTACTCGAACTAAAAAACCTACCTAGTAGGTACTGGATCTATATTTTTTGGTCACCAGCAGTACTAACTTGGCCACGTAGGCAACATCAGCTCATGTCCAAGCCACCCTGGACGCCCATTTTGCTAAAAACCCCCCAGCCAAACCATCCATTCACATTCACAGTTCATTACATATGCTAAGAAAACCACCCAGCCTAACCATCCATTCACATTCACAGGTCCCATTTTATATGCTAAGAGAACACACCATCCAAACCATCCATCCATTCACAGTGACATATATTGACTGAGAAAACATTTATTTCCATAGGTCATTATAGCCAAGATGTCATCAGCAAACTAGGAATTGTTTTGTTGCTTCCATTAGATATGCTAAGAAAATAGCAAGTTGTTGCAAATGATCTATACCTATATGAGATCACTACACAAAAGGCAACTATAGTTGCTGGACAAAAGGCAACGTATAGTTGCTGGACAAAAGGCAACTATATTTCCTGCACAAAAGACTACCTAAAGTGTTGTCTGGGCTATCCTACTGTCCAGATTGACCTCTCTTGGTCTTACCTATCTTCTTACTAGGGGCAACACCGTTGTTCTTCACTACCTTGGTCCTTGAGGTCCTTCCAGTCTTTGTTGTTGTTGTAAGTGGAGTATGCCTTGCTGGTGGGAGGTTGGAAATGATGTAGGTAGAGTCTGGCAATGGTGAAGTAGATGGAATGTGCCTCATGTTCTGTGAAGCCTGAATACAATAGGTTACATCAGTTTTGTGATATGCCAGTAATAAATGGTTGTGACTGAAACTGAAATGAACATTACTGGTACCTCATCTAGTAGTTGTGACAGCATGGGGTTCTCTACTTGGGACATTACTGGTACCTCAACTAGGTTAGTCACCTCCTAAACCAATAATAAAGTTAGATAGTTACATTTGCACATGTAAAATGTATGGTTGTGGCTGTGCACATACCTGGGAATGACTCACCTCATAACTTGGTTGTTGCTCTGGCTCAGTTGTAGTTGTAGTAGCAGTTCTAGTTGTTTTTTTTTGTTTTCTTAATAGCTGGTAGGCCTGCCTTCTTTGCTTCACACCTAGCTGACTTATGACCAGTTTGTCCACAATGGCTGCAGTGCATGATTACTCCATGTTTGGACAGCCTTGGTCCATTAGGACCTTGAACTTCATGTGCTGCCCTTTTTCTTGCCTTAGGTGGTCTGCCTACCCTCTTCTCATACTTAGGTGGCTGCACTTCTAGACCTCCAACATTCTCCTAGGAAGATTTTTCAGAACATGGATATATGTTGCAGCCATATGCATTTTTGAATGCATCAATGGAGTAACAATTTGGGAGCACTAAATCTTTTATGATTCTTTCATGCTTCAGACAAGAAATGGCATGGCTGCATGGTATGCCTGTCAACTGCCACCTTCTGCATTCACAATTTTTTGCCCATAAGATCAACCACATACTGCCACTCTCGGTCATGAACTTCAAAGATACCATTCCCACTTGGTATAGGATAGCATGTGTTGGAGAAATCAGCATGCCTAGCTAACTTTTTCCTGATCTTTAGGCATATGACCATTCCTACCCATTTCTTAGTCACTTCTTTCTGTTTATTGTAATGCCTGACCATTAGTTGGGACTTGATCTTATGTATCATGGTCAAGATAGGTAGTTCTCTAGCTTCCAAGATGTAATTGTTGAAAACTTCACAAGTGTTGTTTAACAGGATATCACATTTTGGGTACTCACTGAAAAAGGCTCTAACCCAAATGTTTGGTGGCATCTTCTCTAACCATGCATAGGCATCCTTGTTGAGCACTTTCATTTTCTCCATTTCCTGGTTCCACCTTGTTACTGTACTTGCTCTAGCACATGCCCATAGTTCATTCTTCAAGTTTTCCCCTTTGAAGTGGCCTTGGAAGTTTGAGTATAGATGCCTAACACAGAACCTATGCTCAGAGTCAGGGAAAACTTGCTAGACAACAGGGATTAGTCATTTTTGTTTATCTGTCATTATGGTCCAAGGAGTGTTGTCTATGCTAAGATCTTGTTTTAGTGTCTCTAGGAACCACTTCCATGATGCTAGACACTCTACCTCTACCACTGCCATGGCTATAGGAAAGATACAATCATTTGGGTCTATGCCTACAGCAGTGAGTAGTTGTCCCCCAAATTTAGTCTTGATGTGGCAGCCATCTAGACATATCACTAGCATGCATCCACTGAGGAAACCCCTCTTACAAGCATCGAAAGACACATAAAGTGAACTGAAGTAGCCATCAAGCAAGTTCAGAAAGAAGCTACTACCTGGATTTGACTTCCTGAGTTCATGACCATAGTTCCAAAGAAGATTGAATTGCTGCACTTCATCTCCATAAATGATGTTCCATGCCATCCTTCTTGCCCTACTCAGCTTCATCCTAGAGGGGGTCAAGTTCAACTCCAACTGAATTGTCCTTCCAAAATTGGTCAGGCTCATCTTCTCATCAGCCCTAAACTTGTCCAAGTACTTGTTAGCTAGCCATTTTGCAGTGCACCTCTTAAGCACCCATTTCTTCTGACAATGGTGATCACCAACATAAGATTTGATCAAGAAACATTCCATCCTAGAATCAAATGAAGCATACAAGTACCATGGACAACCAACATCACAATGAGCTTTGATTCTGGTCTTGTCATTCCATGGCATCTTTATCTCCACCCTATGTTTGATACTGTATTCTATAATAGCCTTTCTTAGCAGTTGTACTGATGCAAACTTCATTCCAATTTTGAAAATAGGGTTCTACAGGTCCTCTGGCCTGAAGGTCTTCAAATTCATCCCAACCTGGCCCTCTTCCTTAGCTGGTAACTCCAACTCATCCTCATCAGATGACAGCTCATCCCATTCCCTAACCGTTGCCATCTTCTCTTTGCCATATGGAGCATTTCTCTTCTTCCCTTTGCTGACTACAATGCCCTTGGCTGCACCCTCATCAACCACCCCATCATCAACATTGCCATAGAATAGGTCATCATCATCATCAACTTCATAGTCACTATCTAAGAAGTACCCATCTATACTGCCATCATTGTCACTGTTGTTATTGTTGCCCACATCATCTCTTTCAGGTGGCACCTTCCTAGGACTTAACATTTTGGGTAGTGTACCAATTGGATTCAACACAATTTCTTTGTCAAATGAATTATATATATCAAAGTACATCACAAAGTTTTTGATCGTATATGCAAATTGGTTCATGATTTGTGTATCTGCATCTGAGTCTACAATTCTCAAACCAGTAGGCACAACCATCTCAGGCAACAACCAGTACACCTCCACATTGTCAAGTCCATAACCTAACATCACACTAATCTCATCAACTGCAAAAAAACACCAATACTTCTCTTTGATATGGTCAAACCAATCAACCTTGCCATCAAGATAAATCTGATCTTTACCAGACCCATAGAAAAATCCCCCATGATGTATTTCCACAGAGAACTCATCATCATCAAGCCCTAAACATTCAGATAAACCTAAAGTTCAGTGCTTTGCCCTGACAACCCAATCTATGCATCAAATCCATGTACTACCACACCAAGTTTGCGACACTTACCATAAACAGGTGCTGGATCCCCTTCCAATCGCCGGTGACCAGCCATGTGTGGCAGAACCGCCTAAATTATAGGGCCCACATGCACCTGTCACTATCCAACGACCTTTGACATCTATGCATATGTTTTCGGTAACTTAAGAAGACTGTTGGGTGTCCTCGGGGAACCCCGAATCATCCACAATTTCCGAGCAGGATCACATTACAGAGTCATTGCAGTATTACAACATTTATTGAAATATCTACATCAGAGTAAAAACAGCGGAAGACTTGCAATAACATAGTTTACAAACCATTTGTTTCAAAACATACAACTAAGTTCAATACTTATTACAAACCAAAGGAGTGGAGTGGCATTATAACATATTACAGAACACACAAATAAGTTGCCCTGCCCAAGGGCCACACATTTATTTATTGTCATCGCACTAAACAACAGTCATGCAGCACGATCCAAAACATATTTGCTCATGAACCTCACCTACAACAAGGGTCAACGAACCCTGAGTACAAAAGTACTCAACAAGTGTTAACCGAAATAAGAATTAATACAACGCAGGAATGCAGGCTCAGGGATTCAAGGTATGGCTTTAGCAATAATCAAAGTTTTTTTACGTAAAAGCTCTTTAACAAAATTCTTTATATCAACATTTAAAACTTCATAAAGATTATATACAAAGCTGACATGACCCACATTGAGATCATGAAACTTCATATCCAACACTTTCTCAAACCAACCTCAAATTCCAGTTATAAAACTACGATGATGAACAGAGAAGTGAGTCTCCATAACCGAGGAGCAATGATGATTCGAACCGATTATAAACCCAGCTAGGAATTCCAGACCACACGATATATCTAGGTCCCCGACCTACATATACCAACCTACCCTCGGAACCTCTAAACAAGAACGGGTCCGCGCCACCCGAGAATACAGTACTCCACCAATCCAGCCCATTGCCACGTGGGTACACGCTATCCCCGCCATCTCTCCACTCCCAGTGCGTGAGTAACCATTCTCGTAATAGAATAACCAAGTTAAGGCTTAGCAGAGTATGTGGTTAGTACTACAAAGTCGCACACAGTTCAACAACGGTACGGACCTTAACCGACACAGGCGGAAAGAACCCGCTCACAAGACCTCCATGTCTTGTGTCTCCCCAACACTGAGTCCGCCCGGTCTAGATTTATTACTCCACATGCTCATATCACATTATAACATAAGTAACCAAAGTTCCATTTAACACTTGCAGATGATAGGTAATCACTCGACTTTCATCGTTCTAAGCATAGCTAAGCATAACTAGGCATATACGAATTAAAACTAATAACATGGTAGATATGGAAGAACAAGGTTGGTAATGCACCAATTAGGTTTTCACTTGACTCCTAATCACTTAATACAGTACAGAAAAGCAAAAGAGAAATCAATTGGTAAAACACAAGGTAGGGTTAAATGCTTCCGGGGCTTGCCTTCGTTGACGGAAAAATCTAGGTCCGGAGTCGTTCCACCGATATCAACACCAACCTCCACAGACGGATCAACCTCCTCAACTACTTGATTAACTACCACATGCTCACCTTCATTCACTACACGTAGTAACAATGTCATGTTTAACATGATGCGAGATACAAAATACGATGCTCGATGATGGATGCAAAAGTTAACAACTTGAATACAACTTTACTTCGCGGTACAGTTACAAGTCAAACTAACTAAACCTTTTCGTAACACCTAATTCAATTGCCAAGGATCATTATCAACTAATGACCCAAGGACATCACTCAATCAAAAATTCAAACAAAACCTAAATCACTAAAGGTTACTATTTGCTTTTATGAATTAATTAATTAATTAAGAATTATGAAATAAATCAACTTGTTCCAATTGACCTAAATTTTTTTGTAAATGTTCATCACATGATAACTAAGTGGCAAAACAATTTTCATAATTTTTGGATACATAAATAAGTCTAGAAAAATCAGGGAATCTCATTTATTAATTAATTGAGCAATTTTTATCACATTCAAAAAGTACTGCAAAACAACATTTCATATTTTTCTTAAATAATATACACCACAGAGAGGTCACACAAAACTTTTCATATTTTTTAGAACCCTAAATAAATGTACACAAAAATAACAAAAATAGACACTATTCATTCAATTCTGAAAAACAGAAAATTCATTTTGAACGCTGAGTCACTGACACCCAGGTCCCACTTGTCATCCCTAACCTCGCTCTTTGACCACAGTGACGACGACGTTGACCGACGAAATCTTGCCGACGGCGAGATCTCCGGCCAAGACGAAGGCACCAACACGTTCACTAAGACTATGCGCACCTACTGACATCACTAATGGCATTGATCGCGGTACAAAATGAGCACGACACCAGCCATGGCGGCCATGACCGCACAGCGGCGCTACGCCGGTGATAGGAGACCAGTAGAGGTTCAACAAACGGCACGGGAAGCACCAGTAGCTCACCCCGAACGCGACTGAGCAGAGAGCAAGACCGGAGGAGCCACAGAGGAGCAGTTCGACGTGTACAGCACCCACGGTGGAACAACGGTCGTCGGTGGCGGCGCTCTGGCGACTGCGGTGGTCAAAACGAGCAATCAACAAGGTATTAAGCACCACGGCATCAAGGCAAAACTGGAGCAACCAAACACAAGGACAGAGGTGCACCGTGGAGCTCTGGCCACGGCAACGCGATCATGACGGCGGCGCTACCGGTAGTGAAGAAGAAGACGAAGAGCGGCGTAGCCCGGCGAAATCAGGCAACCCAAGCAGGATGGCTGGATGCGCAAGGAGCAGGCGAAGCTGGTACAAGAGTTGCTGAGACAGTAACAGCGCTAGGTCGACGGCGAAGGCTCGACGGAGCAGTGGCGGTGGTGACGGGAAAAAGCAGAGGAAGAGAAAACGAAGAACGGCGACGGCGTAGTCTTTATAGCTCAGCCAAGAAGCAAGCAGAAGCCACGCAGGGGCCTTTCCCCGTGCCAGCGCGACGCCATAGATGGCCACGACGCGCCCAGAACGCCGAAGAAGGTCGCCGGCCATGTAGCTTAGGCGGTGAACACTGTTCACAGTAATTACAGAATTGCCATTCATTTTTAAAGCCAAATTACTTCCAAATTTGTGTAACAACTCAAAAATCTCCAAAAATAAAAGTTGTTCAAAATCAAAAGTTCTACAACTTTGCTTTTATAACCACCCCCTAATTCGGTCTACATTTTGAAATGCAATTTTGAATTCAAAAAGGGGACATTTAAAGAATTACGCCTTTTCAAATTACTCCAAATTTTTCTAAACAACTTTGAAAACTCCAAAAACAAACTTTGTACAGCTCAACAAGCTATACATTTTTGCTTTAAGGCTCAACCCCAAAATATGCTTAGATTTTGAAATGAGTTTTCAGGGTAGAAATTTAAATGCTGAAATTAGGGTTTTCGGATTTTCAAATCAATACAAAGATTTCGAACTTGATTCAAACAATACAATTCAACACATACCACATAAAGGTAAACTTGTTTTAGTGAATGCATAACAAAGTTTTCAATATGACCAAATGCTTTGCAATGCATATGATGACATGGCAATTTTAGTATTTATAACACCCGGGGTGTTACACCATGGTGCCGTGCCGCGCCGCGCCACACCTCCCACGGCTTCAACAAAACCTCTTTATTTTCCTTATTACTACCAGAATCTTGTTGTCCATGGAGGGAGGCACACGGACACACCTGATTCTTGTGATGGCGACGACGTCCTTGGCCTCGGCCTGCTCGCGGCACCCGCTCGCGGAGCGTGGCGACCACGCCCCTCACGAGGCCGCTCTCGCCCCCATCTGACCCCCGCCGAGCACACCCCTCATGAGCATGCGGCGAGATGGGGAGGCGGGCAGCAGCGAGACTGGAGGGAGGCGGGTGGCAATGAGATTGTGGGGGAGGGGGGGCGGCGAGAATGGAGGGGCCGGCGGCGGCAAGACTGGGAGGGCCGGGCGGCGGCGATTTCACGGGCGGCGGCGGTGTATCGAGAGAATACGAGAGAGAGAAGACCGGCACGGGAGACTTCAGGGACGGGAGGGGTTTCAGCCGTACTGCACCTAGGGATCAAGAAGTGACCGGCCACGTTCGGCGGGGGGGGGGGTTAGCAAAAATCCCATGACGATTGCGATGCTGGTGCCTACGTGGCTTGTCCACCTAAGCTGTTGTTGCCTGCATGGCCTAATCTTGTGCTGTTGGTGACAAAAAATATAGATCCAGTACCTAGTTGGTAGGTTTTTCAGTTCGAGTACCTATTTGGGAACCACACAATAGTTTGAGTACCTGTGGTGTATTTTACTCTAAAAAATATACCATTGTTGTTACTAATAACATAGTCTATCACTATCTTTATTGTAGATGTCTTCTTTAAATCGATCGATTTTGAGGTCACGCTTCATTCAAATACTTAAGGAAGACCATCATCATTCCTATAAAATGTCCCATCTAATTACTCAATGACTAAATGCATGTTATATTTCTTTAGGAGGACATCGTTAGCAATGTCAGGAGACCCAATAACTATCCGGTGCCACCACTCGTGGCTCTAGAGAATATGTGAAAGGAAATGACACCACGAGAACAAAGGGTTTTTGTGGCAAAAATTTTCATCATAAAAGCATGTTTTTTTTGTCACAGGCTAACCTTTGTGGCGACTTTATAAATCGCCACTAGACACCACAAATATTCGCCTCACAAATACTCTAGTGATGATTTTTTGTTCCCCATAAATGGTTATACCCATTAGTGATGAATTGTGGTGCCACTAGTAAATTGGCCATTTGTGATCCCATTCGTTGTCACAAAAACATATGTATTAGTGGCAAAAAAAAGATTGCCACTTATAGCGTTTTTTTGTGGTGATAGCTGAGGTCTAACAGCCTGTTCAGTTGGCTGGTTCATATCGTTGCTGGTTCGCAAAGAAGTACTGCTGGCTAGTTTGTGTGAGAAAAAAATACTATTCTGACTGGAAATTTACGATCGTTTACGACGAGCCACAGCC